ATCGTCCTGTGAGATCCTTAACCGTCCGGATCTTACACCAGTTTTTGTGTCCACTTTTCACGACCGTGTTGTCAGGTAAAATAAACACGTAGAAGCCATTCGTTTGTCTCAAACTTCTGGCTTCGCCGTGCGCTGTTACGTCAATGTCCGCGTTTTGACCACAATCCCCTCCTGAGGAAATGGTCACTGGTGTTTCTATAGCACCTTTAGGCAGCGTACACGCGACCTTCTTGAAATAACCACGCACCCCGTCAGTCAATTTCTGGAAACGTATGGGGAGAACTACAGAGGCGATAAAGTTCGGTGCCCTCTGTTGAATTCCCCCGTGAATCCGCTGTAAACCGCGGTAATTTCCTTGTTATTTGGCTACTCATAAGTAATCTGATTTATACCTGTTTATAACGATGCCATTTTGTTTCATCACTGCTCGTTTTTCCTGTTTCGTTCCTATCAAAAGTCTGCTTTTTCCTCAGCCGTCACTGTTTACAAGTTTGCCTCGATCGTAGATATGTTCGAGCGTCCATTCCAACGGAAAGGCAGGCCGACGGGGTGCCAAACCCGGAGCTCCTGGATGGTGGGCAAATGCATTTTCCAGCCTGATGCCTGGAATGGCCTATTATTTTGTATTACCCATGTACCGCACCTGCTCTAAGCCTTTGGCGAGATGCGTCTTAAACGGACAAACTCGCGCAAATTGACTTGTCAAGTGACACGAGCTGCCGCATTGCTGCCGACCAAAAGACAATCCCTCACATCCCAAACGTACTAATTTCTGCGCCGTTATCTCTCTATACGGTTAATTTACGCTGTCAGACTGCCCCCATACGTATGAGTGTACATCGTTTAGTGCTTACTAGTTGTTGCTTCTAGAAATCCTTTCTGCGTCAGTGACTAGCTTTCGGTCTCCTAATTGCGTCATTGTTGATTGTACGTTTGCTTAATTCATAATGCTTACTAGTCCGCGTGTCTGTAGAACCAGTTCCTGTCAGTCCTCAATACATCATTTTTGCCCACATCTGTCTGCTCCTCTAGAATACTGGATACGAACAGCGTATAATCTGATGGCCGCAGTCGTCCTCTGAAATCCAGAACCGATCGGAAATTATACCGCCGGCTGACAATTTTCGACAAAATTTCCGGTCTAATATCATCAAAGAAAGATTCAGCAAGGTACCAGGTGAGTCTGTCGAAGGAACCAAATTGGTTTGCAAATGAGTCTATATTCTATAAAGTCTACAATTTGGCTTGTTTCATTGCTCCGACATGCACCCGGTGTTCTACACTGGACTGCATGTGCAGTCGCCCGGCGGTGCCTTATCCCGGGTACGACTGATAACGCCTCGGTCATTTGGGTTACCAATTGATCGAGATGAGTACAACTCTGAGCGGTGGATCACTCGGCTCGTGTGTCGATGAAGAGCGCAGCCAACTGTGTGAATT